CTCAAGCAATCCTTCTGCCTCAGCCTCCTGAGTAGCTGGGATTACAGGCATGCGCCACCACACCTGGCTAATTATTTTTCTATATATTTTTAGTTGGCCAATTAATTTCTTTCTATTTTTAGTGGAGACAGGGTCTATCTCTTGCTCAGGCTGGTTTCAAACTCCTGACCTTGAGCGATCCTCCGGCCTCAGCCTCCCAGAGTGCTAGGATTACAGGTGTGAGCCACTGCGCCCGGCTGGCATCCTAGTTTTTAAGTGATCTACTCCAATCCTATTCACTGTGTAAGTCTGTAATTGCTTAGATTTTGAGATTTTTTTTTAGGACTGCATATTTGGAGTTATTGCAGATACGCCCAGTTAGAAAGGCAATCTCCTGGTTTCTATTCTACTGAAAAGAACAGTATGCTCCTGGGGGAAGGGGTGGAGGGAAACAGAAGAGTCTTCAGGATACTAGGAGGTGACTGCAGGGGGTGCCTCGGTGGGGGAGGGCTGGGGATGCCTGGGGCACTCAGAGAGCTAGGTGGGGCCAATACACCTGGAACCATGCTGGGCAGAGGGATGGAGGTGCTCAACCTGCCTTCCTCCTCCTCCGGCTGTTCTTCAGCTTTCTCTTAGTATTATTATGAAAACGATTTTAACTTTGCCGATTTCTGGAACAAACTTTGAGAACCACTGCTCCAAAAAAATCACTGCCTGCATAACTTAGAGCAGGGCCTTAGCCCGTGGAGAACCTGCGGCCTTCTCGTTTCAAGATTGTCTTTTTTTAAACACCATAGGAAGTAAGAAAAGCTTCATCTTTCTCTGCCAAACCTCTTTTTTTTTTTTTTTTGACACAGAGTCTCGCTTTGTTGCCCAGGCTAGAGTGAGTGCTGCGGTGTCAGCCTAGCTCACAGCAACCTCAGACTCCTGGGCTCAAGCAATCCTCCTGCCTCAGCCTTCCCAGTAGCTGGGACTACAGGCATGTACCACCATGCCCGGCTAATTTTTTTCTATATATTAGTTGGCCAATTAATTTATTTCTATTTATAGTAGAGACGGGGTCTCGCTCTTGCTCAGGCTTGTTTCGAACTCCTGACCTCGAGCAATCCGCCAGCCTCAGCCTCCCAGAGTGCTAGGATTACAGGCGTGAGCCACCCCGCCCAGCCACACCTCTTTTAATAAAAGGATTTGTTCTGTAAAATTTGGATTCAGTCAAAAGGCCACTTGTGTCCTCAAGGCTGCAGGTTCTCCACCCCTGATTGTGATTTTGTCCTTATCACTGTCTTGTTGGCATTTGCCCTTTAGTCTGCAGAGGATTCCTTTCCAAAAAAGAACAGAACATAGCTAGTAACTAAACATCAATTGTTGATGATAACCTTCACTTGAAAGGAAAAAACCCAAAATTCTTGAAAAGGTGTCAGGATATCAACAGAAGCTTCCCAAGCTGAAAACTCATTTGAAGAGGCCCACCAGCAAAATAGGAATGCAGGCCAGGCGGGTCACATCTGTAATCCTAGCACTCTGGGAGCCTGAGGTGGGCGGTGAGCAAGTGAGCCTGCTTGAGGTCAGGAGTTCGAAACCAGCCTGAGCAGGAGTGAGACCCCGTCTCTACTAAAAATAGAAACAAATTAATTGGCCAACTAATATATATAGAAAAAATTAGCCGGGCATGGTGGCACATGCCTGTAGTCCCAGCTACTTGGAAGGCTGAGGCAGGAGGATTGCTTGAGCCCAGGAGTTTGAAGTTGCTGTGAGCTAGGCTGATGCCACAGCACTCACTCTAGCCTGGGCAAGAAAGTGAGACTCTGTTTAAAAAAAAAAAAAAAATAGGCAACTCTCTGATGAAGGGGCTGGGCAAAATCAGGAAACACTAAGAAAATACTCTAAAGTCAGTGGAAAATATATTTGCTATGGTATAGACTAAGAAGGAAATGTAAACACATCTGTAGAGACAGGATAGATCTTCCACCCACCCACAGCAACATGGTTGTACTTTTTGCCCAGGCTGGATGGAGTGTAGTGGCGCAATCAGCTCACTGAAGCCTTGAACTTCTGGGCTCAGTTGACCCTCCCACCTCAGCCTCCGGAGTAGCTAGGACTACAGGCACCTGCCACCACACCTGGCTCCATATATATACATATATATGTATATATATATATATGTATTTTTTTTTTGAGATGGAGTCTTACTTTGTCACCTGGGCTAGAGTGCTGTGGCATCAGCCTAGCTCATAGCAACCTCAAACTCCTGGGCTCAAGGATTCTTCTGCCTCAGCCTCCTGAGTAGCTGGGATTACTGGCAAATGCCACCATGCCCAGCTAATTTTTCTATTTTTAGTACAGATGGGGTCTCACTCTTGTTCAGGCTGGGCTTGAACTCCTGAGGTCAAGCATTCCTTCCACCCAGAGTGCTAGGATTACAGGCATAAGCCACTGCACCCGGTGGAGAATTTTTTTTTTTTTTGAGACAGAGTCTCACTTTGTTGCCCAGGCTAGAGTGAGTGCTGTGCGTCAGCCCGCTCACAGCAACCTCAATCCTGAGCTCAAGTGATCCTACTGCCTCACCTCCGAGTACTGGGACTACAGCACGGGCCACCATGCCTGGCTAATTTTGTTATATATATTTAGTGTCAATTAATTTCTTTCTATTTTAGTAGAGACGGGTCTCGCTCAGGCTGGTTCGAACTCGATTGAGCAATCTGCCCACCTCCGCCTCCCAGAGTGCTAGGATTACAGGTGTGAGCCACCGAGCCCGGTGTCGGTGGAGAATTTTTTTTTTTTTTTTTGAGACAGAGTCTCGCTTTGTTGCCCAGGCTAGTGTGAGTGCCGATGGCGTCAGCCTAGCTCACAGCAACCTCAACTCCTGGGCTCGAGCGATCCTTCTGTCTCAGCCTCCCGAGTAGCTGGGACTACAGACATGCGCCACCATGCCCGTCTAATTTTTTATATATATATCAATCAGTTGGCCAATTAGTTTCTTTCTATTTATAGTAGAGACGGGGTCTCGCTCTTGCTCAGGCTGGTTTCGAACTCCTGACCTTGAGCAATCCGCCCGCCTCGGCCTCCCAGAGAGCTAGGATTACAGGCGTGAGCCACCGCGCCTGGCCTATGGTGGAGAATTTTTAATGTGTTCATTGCCAGTGACTACAAAGGACTTGAAACATCAATATGTATATAACATAGCTGGGAAGGCTAAAAGAAAAAGCCTATTTATGCTAATGAAATTATTGTAATTATATTCTAAGTTATTGACAACCATGGGGAAAAATAAAACATCTGAATAAAGAAACAAAAGATTTAAAGAGAGAAAACTCTTTTAGTTGCTGAAATTCTTAAGGGTCAGTGGGAACCAGAGGAAAAAAAAAGCTCAGTTTCTTTTCCATCTGTTTTTGCCTTCAAGTTTTCCCCTTTTCTAAAACAACAACAAGTTTTGTAGAAAATCAAAGTGAAGTTTCATAAGTTTTATTCTTCCATCTATTAAGTGAAACCAACCTGTATGGTCCATTTGTCAAAAGGTGTGAAAGAGGGTTGATGTAAAAAATACATAAAAATCAACATACTAGCCGGGTGCGGTGGCTCACGCCTGTAATCCTAGCTCTCTGGGAGGCTGAGGCGGGCGGATTGCTCTAGGTCAGGAGTTCGAAACCAGCCTGAGCAAGAGCGAGACCCCGTCTCTACTATAAATAGAAAGAAATTAATTGGCCAACTAATATATATAGAAAAAATTAGCCGGGCATGGTGGCGCATGCCTGTAGTCCCAGCTACTTGGGAGGCTGAGGCAGAAGGATTGCTTGAGCCAGGAGTTTGAGGTTGCTGTGAGCTAGGCTGACGCCACAGCACTCACTCTAGCCTAGGCAACAAAGCGAGACTCTGTCTCAAAAAAAAAAAAAATCAACATACTAAACGTTTGAAAGGCTTTTACATTTGAATGTCACACATTAAAAAGTGCACACATCATGAGCATACAGCTTGTTGAATTATAACAATTATTACCACGCAGAACAATAATCTGCATGCCTTTTTCCTCCCAATCATTCTACCCCTCTTTCTCCTCTTCAAAGTTAAGGGTATTTTGCCTTTTAACACCATGAAATAGTTCTGCTTGTTTTTCATTGTGATATACCTTAAAAGAAATACCTTAAAAGAAATATGGTTGCCCAGTAATCCTGTTAGCCTTAGCTTAATTAACCATATTCCATCTGTCCTCACAATGCTCATCCCAGTAAGAAACGGGTTCAAGGGCGTGGTAAGTGGTGTTCAGATATTTTTAAAAAGCTGAAATCTGTATATTATAACAGAAAACTCAGCATATTAGACAGCCCAGGTTTGCTCACTGGTGTAAAGATCTGCCCAATCTTAGCTGAGAAGACGTTAGAGGAAACGCCACAAGAGACCCAGCTGGGAACTCTGCAGGAAGTTCAAAAAAATCGTTCGGCTTTGCAAAACATCTGATGCTCAGCCATCTGTCTTTGGCAGCATAAGGGCTTAAAGGTCTGTGTGGTTCCTTCTGACACCTTGGAAGGCGGAGTTACAGAGCAGAAGCAAGTTGCAGCAAGCTAACTTATCTAAGTTTTTAGGAGCCCGAGGCATCTGCATCTCTACTTACTCCAATTCGGGCTACTGTCATCTCCACTTCCGGAGGGACCCCAGCCTGAGATTCCTATTGGGGCCACACTTATGCCTCCCCATCTTAAGCGCACACAGGCACAGGGCGGCTTGTGCCCCCGCGTAGGTGACGAAAACACGGGACAGTTTCACTTCCAGAGACTAACGACACGGTCTATTGCTTGAGAGTTTTGTTTAAGGGTTGGGATACGAGGACACTCTGCGCCCACGCGGGATCTCCCATAGTGGGAAGGAGGCGCAGAGGCTCTGGCCACTGGGTGGAGGGAGAGCCAGCACCGGTCGCTGTCATTGCTGGCCAGCAGCAAGCCCCGACTTCCTCTCCAGGCTCTTCAGGGCATCCTGAGGCCCCACCCATGGCAACGCCACTCTGACGTCCGCGCGTCGGAGGCCGCCATAGGGCCGCGTCGGGGCCCAGGAGGACGTGTGGCGCGTGGGCTCCAGCGAGTCCAGCCCTGCGGGAACCCAGTAGGCGCTTCCGGGCAAGGTTCTGTGCACCTGTTCCCTCCTTCTGCTCAAGTATCTTCCCCCTCTGGGAAGAAGGGGACATGCTCGTCTCCAGAGATCAAGAAGATACACGACAACAATCCTAAATTAAGTACAGCGCGCGAGATTGGGCCCAAAGCAAGAAGGTGCCGGGCACCTTTAAGCTGTTTAGAAGCTCACGTGACTCACTAAGTGCCGGGCCCCAGCGGTCACGTGACGGCGCGCGCGCCCCCGCGCGGAGAGAGCCGGTCCGTGCCGCGCGCGCGCCTTCGCCGCTGCCTCCCACCCACCCCCTCGACGGGAGGGTGAAGAGCGGCGGAGTGATCGGCGTCTGGGACCCTGTGCGCGTGCGCGGCGAACAGCTGTCACCTAGTGCGGAACAAGTCTCCTGAATTTCCTAAATCTCGCTGGGCCAGAGGCCACCGTCTTCCTTCTCATCCTCTTCCTCCGGGTCGTGTCCTCGCCCCCACCCGCGCGCCAGGTAACCGCTTTTCCGGACTCCGGGCGATGAGGGCGGCGGGGGGAGGGGCCCGGGCGGGCTTCCCGGCACTGCCCCCTCCGCGCGGGGCAGCGGGGGCGCGGGCGTCCGGGGGAGCGGAGTCTGTGGGGCAGAGACGCTCCGTCCGCGACTGCCGTGCTGGGGAGTGAGCGGCCGGCCATGGTCGCAGGGAAGGGAGGGGGGAGCCAGTGACAGCCCGCCCCGGCCCTTACGTGGGTTCGGTCCCCGCGCTCCCCATTCTCCCGGGAGCCGGAGTCGGGGTCGCGCTCCTCGGCACGGAGGAGCGCGCGGGTGGTCCGGGGATGCGGACTGCTTCCCTTGTCGCTCCCAGCCGGGTCCGCAGCGGACTCCAGGAAGGCCGGGCCTGGTGCACCCCTCGGGGCCCTCCCTTCCCTGGGACTGTCACGACCTGCGGGGGGAGAGTGGGAGCTCCTCTCCGGACCACCGGTCGCAGGCGGCCAGTCCCTCTTTAGGGTTCGTCCTCAGCCTTCGCGGCTGTCCTTTTGGTGTTTCTTTTCCCCGCATGGGACCATTTCTTCCTGCAGTGCCCGGAGGAGCCACGATGTGGTGTAGACAGTGAGTGCTTAATAAATGCGAGTTGGATCAGGGCGCGTGGACTGCCAGGCACAGAACGTGGCGTGGGGCGAGGATGTGGAGGAGGGGGCCAGGCAGGCCAGGGCTCCGGGCTTGAGATTGGAGTTTTCTTCGGCGCCTAGTGAAACCAGCAGGCTCGATTCGGATCCTTTCTGCGTGGACTCGAAGCCAGTCTCCCTCTTAGGTGCGCGCTGCAAGCCTAAGCTGGCTGGCTTTGGTTGTGGGCAACGTCCAGGAGGGGTTTCGTCAGTTTCCTCCTTCCGGAAAACACGGCGCAAACTTTTTTTGTACGTGATAAACTACCCTCGCGAGGTGATTTATCAAGCACTGCTTCGAAGTGTAGGTTAGAGTTGCAGTCAGTTCACCCTTATCCTGGTGAAAGTTTCTGGTAGTCACGGTCTACTTCGGTTCAAACCAAACTTTGCCCTATTTCACCCATTTGAGTTTGCGGTATTTTTAATTTTGGGCAACTTGGCTTCACTGTTTCTGTGGCAACGGTTACTAATATTCTAATTTCGAAGCGTTCTGGTTGAAAATTAGTGGTTTTAATTTTTAAAGGTCCGTTTTTACTATGTAGCACTCCTTTGAAATCGTCACTCAAGTTTCCTTACTTTGCCAACCAACCGTCCACGCTTTGTTTTGGAGTGTCTTACAATGTAATGTGGTTCCGGTTTTTTAGGCCCTCTTTCTCCCAATTTTAGTGGTATGAAAAGTTTGCACATAATCTTTACAACACCCACAAGCTGGAAATATAATAATTTTTATTAACAGACTTTTAAAACATTGAACACGCACAAATGGTTTTTTAAAAAAGTTCACTAACCATTCTCTAAGAACCAAAATTTTCAGAAGCTGAACAGGTAATTTAAAAAAACGAAAGTTTCTTGGGCCGGGTGTGGTGGCTTACGCCTTTAATCCTTGCACTCTGGGAGGCCGAGGCAGGAGGATCGAGACCAGTGTCAGGAGTCCGAAACCAGCCTGAGCAAGAGCGAGATCCCGTCTCTACAAAAAATAGAAAGAAATTAGCTGGACAACTAAAAAAAAATCTAGAAAAAAATTAGCCGGGCATGGTGGCACATGCCTGTAGTCCCAGCTACTTGGGAGGCTGGGGCAGTAGAATTGCTTGAGCCCAGGAGTTTGAGGTTGCTGTGAGCTAGGCTGATGCCACAGTACTCTAGCCTGGGCAACAGAACCAAACTCTGTCTCAAAAAAAACCAAATTCCTTGGATTTAAATTTCAATTTATGAATGAAAATCTGGCAAATTGAGTTCTCTTTTGAACACTTTCACTGAATCACCCAGGACTGGGTTAGGTACCCTGGCGTATGGTCAGTGAATTTTTTCCTTTTCTCTCTTTTTGTAATGCCTTACCCTCTCGCCCCCCTCTCCCCCCTTTTTTTTCCGCCAGGGTCTTGCTCTGTTGCCTGGGCTATATAGTGCAGTGGCATCATCATATCTCATTGCAGCCCTCAGACTTCTGAGGTGAAGCAATTCTCCTGCCTCAGCTTCCGAAGTAGCTAGTATGACAGGCGTGGGTCACCATACCTGGCTAATTTTTCTATGTTTTGTAGAGAGTGGCACTTGCTCTTGCTCAGGCTGGTCTGAACGCCTGGCCTCAAGCAATCCTTCCACTTCTGCATCCCTGAGTACTAGGATTACAGGCAAGAGCCACGGCCCAGCCTCTAATTGTCTCTTGATTGGCTTTTCTCCCCTACTAGAACTTGAGGACAGTTTCTTTCATTTTTTTCCTTTGTTGTATTTCCATTATTTACCATAGTGCCTGAGGTGCTCAAAATATCCTCTTTCTGTCTCCTTTAAAAAATAACAGCTTTATTGAGATGCAGTTCACTTATGTAAAATGTACAATACAGTGGTTTTTAGTAAATGCATAGAATTGTGCAACCATCGCCACAATCAGTTTTAGAATTTTTTTAAAGTAAAAATTTGTTTGGAGACAGTGTCTCGCTGTGTTGCTCAGGCTGGTCTCAAACTCCTGGCCTGAAGTGATCCTTTCTCCTAGGCCTCCCAAAGTGCTGGGATTACAGGTATGCCCCTGTGCCAGGCCGGTTTAGAATATTTTTATAATCCTCAAAAGAAACTGCTCCAATTAGCAGTCATTGCCTATTTTCCTCCAGCTCTCTCCCCCCCAAGCCCTAGCAACCACTAATCTGCTTTCTGTCTCAATAGATTTGACTATTCTGGACATTTCATATAAATGAAATCATATACTATTTGGTCTTTTGTGACTGGCTTCTTTCATTTAGCATAATGTTTTAAAGATTCATCCATGTTGCGTCTTGTATTGGTACTTCATTCCTTTTTATGACTGAATAATATTCCATTCTGGATATATCACATTTTATTTATTCATTTATCAGTTGATGGACGTTTGGGTTGTTTCCACTTTTGACTGTTATGAGTAATGCTGCTATGAACATTTGTGAACTACTTTTTGTGTGGACATGTTTTCTTTACTCTTGGATGGAATTGCTGAGTTAAACTTTTTTTTTTTTTTTTTGGTTGAGATAAGATCTTGCTGTGTTACCCAGGCTGGTTTTGAACTCCCAAGCTTACACAGTCCTCTGCCTCAGCCTCTTGATTAGTTGGGCCTATAATTATACACTACCGTACTGAACTCAAACACAAACATCTTTTGAATGTATGCATGAGCAAGGAGGGATACTTAGTTTTGGGGATACTCTCTTAAGGCCTTGGAGCGGCCTATTGACTTTTCCCTGCTTTACTACCAAGTCTACTTCTCTGGAGACCAGAATTCTCTGTGGGTCTGTGTCCTGTGGCTAGTGCTTCATTTTTCTTTTCTGGATGTCATTAAGATCCTCCCTTTCTGTTAGCACAATCTTTCTTCATATTGCTCATGATTATTCCCTTGATATTCATTTATTATATATTTATTAGGGATATAGTAATAAAACAGGTACATTTCATACCCTCATTAAGGTCAATGTCTAATGCAGGTTTCTCAATTTTTAAAAATTTATGCTCCCTTTTGTTAAATATTAATATTTAATGCTCCTCCCCCAACCCTTATTTCTGATACGAATTTCTTGGGAGGTATGCCATAGTTAAAGTCCCTGTACTTTTTTTTATCACTAGCAATCTAGACAGTTTTGTGGAGCTTAAAATATAAATATAAACATTGTCTTTTTTGCTTCTCCCCACACTAAAGATTCCCTACATCATTGTCACCCTCCCTGCCCTTTGGGAGTTACTGATACATTGGAGAAGATGCTGATCTTCTAAATCCACACTTGCTGAGCCTAATCCCTTCTCCACACAGAGGTCAGAAGAATTCTTCTAAGGAGCCTATCTATCCCCACCTCATCCTCTTTCAAGGCCTTTTATTCTGAGGAATAGTGTTAACTCTCAGATCTGTGTGTAGGGCTTTGCCTAGCCAATCTCCTCTTTCCTGCCAAACTCATCTTCCCAGTTCCCTGGATGGGCTTTTTACCCAGCTCATACTTGCCTTCCCTCTACCTAGTCTGCTACCCGACCTGCACTTCTCAGTCTGGTTAGTTCCATTTTATCCTTCAGAAAGCTCAGCTCAGTTGTCACTTCTTCCAGTTAGTCTTCCCTCAGTCCCACACACTTGACATAGCAGCATTCTGTAATCTCCTTCATAGTCTCAGTCACGCCATCACTTGTATATCACTCTTCCCTTCTCACTCTCATGAATGCACAGAGATAGGTTCACACAAAAATATTGACAATAGTTAATTACTTCTAGGGGATGGAATTAGGGCCAAATTGTTTCCTTCATGTTTATGTGCATTTTCTCCCATGAATCAGCATTACTGTTTCGAATAGGGAAAAAAGTTAATAAAAATCTGTTTTTTAGAAAATCTGGAAAACAGAAGATAGAAGAAAATGAAAAATCAACAGTTATTTCCATTTTCCATTTTAGTGAATTTCTACTAGGTTTGTTTTAATAACCTATATCAGATTTTTAGTATAGCTTCAGCACCAAGCTTTTATTTCACTTTGATTTTTTCTCATATTAGTCAGAGACTTCTAGAGAATGGTGAGGATACTTATCAGTTAGTTGCCTAGATGGAATTTCTAGTATTGAAATTAAGCTAATTCTTCGAGAACAGAATCTAGCCTCTGAGATTATTTAGGGTGTTAGAACTAAGTTTGTGCTAAATGATTCATTTCCCTTTTTTCCTTGAGAAATGTTCTGATCAGTACGTTTGTATGTTTCATAATACAGAGATTTTCCTTGCACAGTTGCTCATTATTAATATTTGTATTGTTTTATTTTTGCTGAGTGGTTTATTCTGCATAGTAGTGAGTAGATTTCTTCAGTAGATTAACACCTACTATGTGCCATGGACTGTGTTAAATATGGAGCGTATAGGGTGAACACAATAG